TTAAACTGAGCAAATATGGAATTATTTTTAAAATGGAGCTACTACAGAATAGACACTTGATGCCTTCCTGTTGAGACAGAAGCTCATTTTGATGTGAATCTGTCTTTGAGGGGGGCCAGGACTGCTTAGGTATAAATGGAAGCAACAACAGGTAGGTTCAACCTCTTTCTACCCTCCTTCTGTCCCTACCTGGGCTCTAAGGAGGCACAGGGCAGTGCATCAGCATTGCTGCAGCTTATTAATTGTGAGGGCTCTTCAAGGGAGGGGGTGTTGGAGGGAAATGTAATCTGGTGTCCCAAATGTAATCAACTCTGAGCTCTTTGTGGAGTTAATAGACTCTCACAGGAGTGAGAAGTGGGCTTGAATACCTACCAGAGGTGTGAACGTCAACATGTGCAAGTATCCTGGAGAACTGCACCCAAAGGAAGTCTAGAAAGAGCTGAACTGCCCAGGAAAAGCTCCCCTTTTGTTAAACTGTTGAAAATCTGGGCAGAGGGATGATGGAAATTTCACTCCCACTACCTCAGTATTTGAGGTAAAGTAGTGGGTTGGGGTGTAGGGGATTTCTGTGTGTGTGTGTCTGGGTGTGGATTAAAAATTTCCATGGAGAATTGAACAGTCTCCTACCTTTCCAGCTCAGGTGGGACTATGGGGTTGACCAAAAGTGAGCAAGTGAGCAAAAAGCTGGAGGTCTTGGATAACAGATCCATCTGTACATGTGTGTGGGGTTTGCCCCATAAATGCCAGTGGACTGCAGCAATGGGTTTGCAGCACTAAGGCAGGCAGGAAGCTGCTCCACCAGTCACGCAGTAACTGCAGGCGGGTTGCAGTTTATACACTTTCAAACTTAATCAACAAGAAAGGAGATTTAATCCATGAAACAGATAGTAACTAACAAGCTCTAAGTGATGTCCAGCATAAGAATGGAGAGAATGATCAACCGATAGAAGATGGAATAGTAATTAATAAGAGAACTATGGAAGTTGTAGCCAAGGAACATTACCGCCTGTGTTTGCTGATGCTGAGGAATACATCTGGTCTGAGTAGCTCCCTTTGCAAGCTGCAGTTTGAGATACAGATTGAGCTCTGGGTGGGAGATGAAGACCAGTGATGGGTGACATGGTCCAGGTAGGTGGATGAACACAGAGGGTGGGGGCAGGAGCCCCCTATTTATACATTCTTCTAGATATACACTGGAAAGTATAAATAGGAAAAAGTTTTGTTAGTGTGCTTGATTTGTGGAATACCACTGAGCACCCAGGCTTGTGCAAGCAGAATAAATAATCAGTGTCTCTCTTGAGTGTGTAATTATTGGTGTGCTGCACACTGGGTAACAAATCCCATTTTTCTGGGCAACAAGCTTGTTGGAGCTGTTCACTCTCCTAATAAAATAAATAAGGGTATGAAACAGGTTCCAGAGGAGCTGGGGTGTACCCAGGCTGCTGCTTGCACACGGGACTGGGGAGGGTGTCCCTTGAGAGCAGTCACTCTCCAGAGCTGATGGGCAGGCAGGAGCAGATGGCCACCCGCTGGGATGAGGAGATGCTTCAGGGGATGATGTCACCAAGATGTGGCTGTTTCCAATTTCCAGCTGCTAGTAGGAGGCCCCATTACCAACTGTCTGAGCATTTCAGGCTCTTGGAAAATGTACAAGGAGGGCCAACACTGTGCATCTGGACAGATCAGCATGCAAGTAGCTTTTAAAAATGATAGAATGAAAAACCAATGATGGGATAAATATCTGTGTTAAACTCATCAATAGGAGCCAGTCAGGGCAGCCAAAGGTTTGGCAACAGCCACAAATGTGTTCAGATTCACAGAATCAAAAAACATTTTGAGCTAGAAGGGACCCAGGATCTTCAAGTCCAACTCCTCAGCAAATGGCCCCTTCCAGAGACTGAACCCACAACCCTTGGTATTATTAGCACCAGGCTCTAACCAAGAGCTGATCTCAGGGGTGTCATAAAAATACTCCAGGAACTACATGTTGTACCACAAAACAGACCCTTCTGAAGCCACCAGTGGGACTGGGGACTGGCATCTGCAAGACTAAAAGAACAAACCTTTGCTGCTTGTGCAAAGGCAAAAACTGACCCAGAGGAGCCATATGTTAGTGACACACCATGAAGGATCCCACCACTGGTCCAACACAACACAGGCCATCATTTCATCTTAGAAGACTTTCTGTCACTCACTACCATAGCCTGGGGACCCCAACACTTGTAGATGTCAAGCAAAGCACACGGCTTTGTTGCCATAAGATGCTCAGCTTGTAGATCTAGTCAGTAGCTACAAAAATTTTGACTCAGGCTTCCTCAAATTAGTAGAAACTTATTAAATCACAGATTTTAATTTGATTCATCAATTCACCACTGTAATTCTAAGATAGAGAGCTTATGGAAATGACCATTGAGGAGAATTAATTTGTTACTGCCCTGAGAAGAAAATGAGACAAACCAAAATAAAGTATATTTCTAGTGTGTACTTAGTATCTCCATTACTTATGTTCAAAAGGATCATGAAGGATCCAAACAGACAGAAGGAGGCAGAGGTGAACAAAAGCATTTGAAACTTCTCTTCTATGAAACGCTTTGCTGAGAATTGTTGAGCACCCAAGAGCACCCCAGTGCCCCATGTCTGCAGAACCAGACAGCAGTGCTGGAGATAAAGCCTTCAAGGTACTCAAACTCTTGAACTGTGGCTTGACATTAAGTTCTGTGGCACCAAAAGCACAGTGACCTAAAAGTCTTGCACCCATTCCTGTTTCTTTGAAAACATTTGCTGTGTTATCTTTGTGCCTGCAGAACACATGCATCACATCTGACTGTGCTACCCTGAAATCTCCACACTGAACTCCTCCAGAGCTTTTCCATGCATTTATTCGACATGCAGAGCTGCTTTGTCGCCTGGATTCCAGGATGTCCCACAACAGCAGGCTGAACCCTGACCTCAAACACAGCTGAAGCTACGGGAGGGTTACCCCTCCTCCAGGACTTGCCCTGTCCTGGGAGGTCTGACCACACTGCTCGAGTCAGAGATTCTTCCCTCCAGCACATGGGTCTCTTCTCTCCCATGTTTAAGGGCAGACTTGCCTCAGCCTTTTGTGCGTGCCTTTTGCTCAGATGAAGGCTGGCATCAGTGTGAAGAAAGCCACAGGACGCTCTGGTGGGGCTACCCCAGGTAAGACCCTCCTTAGGGCAGGTCAGACAGGCAAAAGGCACCTGAACAACCCTGTTCCAGTGCTTCGAAACAGCTTTCCTCCCATGTCCCACATGGTATTCCAGCCTCTTTGCTTACTCTCCTCTCTCCTGCACACTCTAGGCTGGTACTCTACCCTGCAAAAGCCCCTCAGCGAGCAGATTTATGGTCTAAGCACAACAGGCATGCAGCAGCAGTAATTTATACAGTGCTTAAACACTCAGCACTGAAATCACACACCACCTACCCCCTTCCCCCAGCCAGCCACTCTCAGGGAAACACGAAACATGAAGTGGGCTTTAACAGTTCCACCTAGTGCTTTGGCATCTGCCAAGGGATTTCTGGCCAGCTTCTCCACCAGCCCTTTCTTGGCTGCTTCTCCTGGGGCACTGTGTGGTTTGCTGCAGGGCACAGCAGCGTGGTCTCCCCTTGGCTCCTGCTGTGCTGTGCTGGCACGTAGCACATCACCATTTAGTTGACTTGAGGAGAGGTGAGAAGGAAACCATTCTGCCATCACTGAGCCCCTTGCTCAGCCAGCATGGGGGAATATTACCTTCCTACCTGTGCCTCTATCCGTGAGGCTCCAGCAGGGCATCTGGTGTGCAGCAGGCCCAGGAAGCCAAACTCACCCAAGAGGTTCAACCACACTTGTGCTCAGGTGTTGGCTGTGTGCCACTGTGTGCTGCTGAAGCCAAAAGATCTGTCCATCAAGGAGACAGGGCACACTGCAAGAAGTTCTTGTCTGGTTGCTGCTGAAATCTCCTCCGTCCTCTTCCCATGTTCCAGGGTTGGCAAAGGAGGGGACCTGTAACAGCCAAGTAACTAGGGCAACATCTGTGTACAAGAACTTGCCCTTAGTTTATCCAGCAAGAAAGGGGCAGCTTATAATCAGTACAGAAGACCCCACAGAGAATTTCACCTTTACCCAGGCAACACGAGTGCTTTGCTCCAGGCTAACCTGCTTCTGTTGGAGGAAGCTGAAAAGTACTTACAGGGTAAACACAATATGGAGTGGCCTAAGTAAAAAGCCTGAAGAACATACTTGCATTTTGGATATGAAAAGCAGGCATGTGTTTAGTTACTGCACATGGAAATGCACATGGAAGTGGTACAGACGGACAATTATATCCCCCTCACAAACAGCACAATAACACAAAAGCAGCAAATTGCCAATTTTAAATCTTATGTTAAGGCAAATATAGATAAACAACCATAACAGGATTAATAAAAATAGGGAGTTTTCCTTGGCTTTTTCTTTGTTTATTTTTTCTGTGATTGGCTTTTACACATCGATAAAATCTGTTTAAGCACCTTCTGAACATCTTCATCCATTTGACCCTAGAAAGGGGAGAAAGAAGAAAAGATGATTGAATTCAAACAGCTCTCTACTCTTTAAGAATATTGACAAAGTATTTTTGAGGTATAGTAATTAGATTCATTTCCCTAATGGAGCTTAGTTTGTGCTTGAACTGTCATACCTTTTGGGAGGGATGTCTTTGATACAACATGCCAAGTTCTTACTAGATCTGCAGAAGAAGCATCTTTAATTAAAATACCAAGACTGTATGACTGACAACATGCAACCATACCTGCACAGCGTAGAGAAGATGCATCCTGTAAACTGAGACAATTTCCTGATGTTGTTTTTTTGTTTCCTAGAAAACAGTTAAGCAGAAAGGCACAGAGCACTCAGAACTATTGAATTCAGGACTCCTCAGCTAGATCCATACAGGGGAAATTACAAACCAGTTTTATACCATGCATTTAAAAACAACTCCAACACTGCTGTGCCACTCTGCAGCCTAAATTTGCTCAGAAGCACATCCATGAAAATGCTGTAATTCCAACCATCCCAATAAAAAAGCTGGTGAGTTTTTAATTTCAAGAAGGGCTTCTTGAACTTGGTGGTACTTTTGCTGAAGATCAGTCACTTCCCGTTCCTTTGCTTCAAGCAGAGTATGCATACCTTCTTTTTCTTCTTTCAAGTGCAGAATTTCATTTCTCAGTTTCAGAGCATCTAAGGACACGTTTTCCTTCTCTCAGATTACATCTTTCAGTTTGGATGACAGAACACTAACTTCACCCTCTAGTGATGACTGGAGCTTTTCATATGCAGCCTTGGGTACCATTGCTTCATTAATTGCAGCTTTTTCTTCCAGCAACTCCTTCTCTAAGTTTCTTAATTCACCTTCCTTGTTGCTAAGCTGTTTTTTGAGCTCATTTATTTCTTCCTCCATTTCCTTTATGGTATTTCTGAGTGCACCAATCACCTGACGGTGTTCAGTAAGTGGCACGGAGTTTTGTTTCTGAGTGTCTAACAGTTGCTTTAGTTCTTCTGCTTCATCTAAGACTTTTGTGTACTGGGATTGCATTTCTGATAACTCATTTTCTGCTTTGTATTTCAAAGAATTTGTTACCTCCATCAGTTTCTCATGTTCTTCTCTAGGAATGTAGTCCAAAGCTATATCATCTAGAGTTTTTTTCTTCCTGTAGTCTTCAAGCTCTGTTTGTGCTTCTTTGTACAACTGAGACAATTCACTAAGTTGTCTGTTGAGCTCATCTACCATTCTGTGCATCACATCTTTCATTTCTCCAGCTTCAGCACTAGATTCCAGCTGTGTCTGCTTTGTCAGCTTGTCCTGTAGCCTTTTAATTTCCTCTTGCCCTTCTTTGTACCTCTCAATCAGCAATGCTTTCTCTTGATTAATGTTCTCAATAACTGAACAATATGAATTCTTCATTTCCTCACACTCTTCCACAGACAATTTGCTTGCCACATTCTGCTCTCTGTCTTCAAACTTTTTCTGTAGCTCTCTCACTTTTTCTTTTTGTCTTTCGTTCTCCTCCAATGCTTTCTTCAATTTTTGCCTAAGTGTTTCAACTTCTGCATATGTAACTTTTAACATACTCAGATCAGAACTGGTTTCTTCACTTTCAGAGGAAACAAGACTCAGCTTCTTTTGCCTCTGTACATTCAAGGTGTCTTTCCCAGCTTCCTCATACCTGTTCTGAGTTTCTTGGAACTTCAGGTTAAGATCAGAACCATTTTCTGAAATGTCTGGGCTATTTAAATGATCTGTTTCTGGAATTCTAGACTGGGCCTAAGCTTCCAGGTGCCTTCTTCTGACTTCAGAGTTCTCTGATTTCCTCTGTACATCCTTTAGGTCTTCCTGAAGATACCTCATTTTTACTTCTCTGGGACCTGTCAACTTTTCTTGGGTCTGAGCGGCATTTGATGTAGGCTCCGGCTCCTGAGCCAAGAACTCATTTTGTCTATCTACTGTTTGCTCAAACTCCGTTTGAGTTGAATAAGATTCTACAGCTGAATCCCCTCGATAAAGCCTGTCAAAGTGGATTTCTTTTATTTATGAGGTGCCATTTAATTGTAGCAAGTGTCCAGTATTTCAAAGTCTGTTAAAGCCATTGAAGTTCTATTGCCCAATTCCCATTAAATACTAAGGAAATAGGGACAACTATCTTGTAGATAGATTGAAAGACTGCAGCCCCTGTGATAAATAATAGCAATATATTGACAAGTATTTTTTAAAAAAAAAAATCTTCAATGCCCTAAGGTAAAGATCAGATAGAACACACTCAATTGTTTCCCTGATGTCTTTTTGTAAAATGGTCTCTTTTTGCACTGCTCAATTCCATGCCCTTTGCTGGTATTAGAAAGTGAACTCTTGTAGCATTAATACTTCCTTTCATAACCATATACTTAACCACTAACTAATCTATGACCATTTCTGTACACATATTTGTTAAACTTTAGAGTAATCTGCACTTGCTTTATAAATTACTTGTAAATAGGTTTGGATTTCTTTTCACTCCTAGAAGTCAGCTAATTGGGTCACAGAAGACTCTGAAGTCAGCAAAATAGAATATTAAGGAAAACAGATACTGCACTTTCCTTCCCTCAGCTCATAAGAACAGAACACTGATACCTTGCACACTTGATCAGCAAAGAAAGCCTGCCCTTTTCCAGTCATGGGAGTTGAAGTTGATGAGTATGGAGAGGATAAATCATTAAGCTGTAAAAGATTTTTATATAAGTAGGTAAGTGTCACAGCCTTGATCATGCTGAAAGTTTCACCAGCCAGAAAAGGTAGGTTTGTTAGTTTGGTTAGTAAAGTCCAAGCAAGTTCTTTTATTAAAAAAAAATAAATAATAAAATGCCACATTAATATCAACTTTAGCAGCTCATGCAGTGCCTTGTTTTTCCTATGTAAAGACCACATCTCTACCAACACAAAGATATGAAACATGCCTGACAATAAGAATCTGCTCCCTTGTAACCCATGCTTCAGTGAAAACAAACAAGATTCAGTTAAAAAGCAGAAGCTGACAACAGGTTTAGCCCCAGTGATCTTAAATAATTCCATTCATACATAGCCCAGTCATGCCCTTCTTCATGGCTCTTTCCTCTCCACCAACTTCTGCCTGAGCTCCCTGAAAAACCCACCTGTCCACTCAGAGAAGGAATGAACCAATGCACTGCAGCCTCATCTGCTTTCCAGCCAGCAGCAGGTCTACAAGGTTTATGTGCACTCCAAGATACGATATTCCACACAAAATTTAAGAAACTAATATAATTGCCTAAATCTGCTGGGATTCTCACAGGATGGGGTCTCCAGTAACCAGGGATAACCTTCAATTACATGTTTTAGAAACAGGATAGTTTTCTACACCACCTTCTCTACAGTTTGAAGAGATAGGGAGTCCAAAAGCCAAGCTCCTGCATTACCCATGAGGAAAGCACACATGCACACACACACTCGCCCTCCCTTCCTTGTCTCACTAAGGGTGCTGGCTGCTTATACAGAGAGAAGCTGAGTCTAAAAGCAATGCTCCTGAAACACATTTCTTAACTAAGCAACAAAAACCTTTTACACAGTAGTCATGGCAACACATCTCACAGTGACATTCACTATTGCTTCCAGTCCTATCAGTTACTTGTTCTTATGGCACAAGTCTAGATAGTCTGAGTATTTTCAGAACCAGAAGGACAAATACCTGCTTCGCTTTCGTCGGTGACTTTGTATCTGTGAAGCAGAAAAGATGTGGAATATATAACAGTTAACAAAGGAAAAGTTATTCGCCATTCTTAGCCCACCTCTCAGCTCTACTTCCCATACCACAGATAAACAGCTTGATTTTTGAATTCCTGCCTGAAACATGAAAACCGTATTTTCTAAATGCCATCTGAATCACACCCTTTCTCTGTTACTGCTTGGGTTTCATATTGAGATAATATCTGAAAAATCATGACAATTCTTACTCTATTATAGTCTCACACCCCACTTCCACATTAAGCTTCCTACTTTAGAAATCCATCTTAGTTTGACCACAAAACTCTCTGCCTGCTTTAGTTCCTTCTCCAGCCCCTCTGCTGAGAGGCTGTGTGGTCCATGGACTCTCTCACCTAACAGAAAATCATCTATTCCAAATTGTATTCAAAACTTTACAATGCTCTACATCAACTTACCTTTTCTTACTCCAAAACACCTCTTTTTGCCCTCAGGGCTTTATCCCACACTAAATATTACCATCTATGGCAAAGAGCTTTTGGGAAGTCTCAGCCAGACAATCCTGAAAATGGCTTTTGCAACATTTCAGACTACAGTTTGAAGTAAATTTGTTCAGTGCTAAACATCCATGTAGCTCATTCAAGAAGTGACAAACTGCACATCAGGCTCTCTTACATACCCACATCCTGAGATAACTTTGATGATAGGAGGTTCTGGATCCCTGCATTCTCAGAGAGCTTGGCATAATGCAGAGCGTTCTGTCCAAAGACATCTACTAAACTGACATCTGCACCTCTCCTAAGGAAAGCGTCCACCATGCTAAGGTTACCAACTTCACAAGCCATCATCAAAGCAGTTCTGAACAAAAGAAAAAAAACAAAAAAACAAACCAAAACACAGAGAATAAGTGCCAAGTACATACTCTTTAAGCAGCTCATTTTCTCAGGAAAAAAAGTGTGATGGTTACTGTGCAATGAAGTCCCTCCTCCTCTTCTTGGTACTCTCCAGCTGCAAAGACAGGTCATTTCTAAGAATGACTTCCTGAGGTCAAGAGGAGAGTCATAGATAGAAATGGCTGCAGGATAAAGTCAGACGAACAAACCTCACTGCTGCACTACAGTTACAGTGGTGGTACAGCAGGAAAGCTTTTATGTCATTGCTGTTCTCCTCCACGTTGCTTTTTAAACAAAAGAGACAAACAGATTTCAACAAAACACAAAAAACCCTGAAAGTGAGTTCAAGGGATGGGTTTGACCTGAAAGCCTGTACTACAGTCACCTTAAAAAAAGGAAAACAGAAAAAAAGAAAAAAACCCACAAGAAGTCCATTAGAGCACAAACCATTCCCTTTCCAACACAGGGTAGCTGCACAATGCCAGATCCTAGAGTAAGGGTAGCATGCAGAAGGAGTCTTTTCCTAACGTGTTGTATCTGCTTTTCTCAATTACTTGAAGAGGTCATAAGAAATGTACAGAATAATTGAAGCCACACAAACCCCCTCACTTTTCAAGCGTGCTCTAATAGTGCCTTCCTGCTTGGGCATAATTCTCCTTTCTCAACATGAAAACGTGCCCAATAGGTTGGCCAAGTTTACTGCCAAACACATTCCTCAGTGCAGATTGGAAGTTGAAAAGTTACTACAGTGATAATTTTTGCTAAATATTAAGACAAACGTTTCGCTGATGAGTTAAACATACTCCCTGCAATGGGTGAGCCCTGGAGAGGTGATGGCTGCTGCAGTGCTGTGTTAAAAGGTAGTGCTGAGAGCAATTTGGATAACACCTCCAGAGTCACAGGGAAGGTTTTAGGTTACAAAAATGATTCATTTAGTCTGGACAAGATGGAAATCTGGAGATGCCATTGTCAAAAGTTATCCCCTTCTTCTCCCAATAAGGCTTCTCCTGTTTCAGTAAAATCATAACCCCCTTTGTGAATGTGAGATGCAGGAGTACCCACTCCCCTTACCACGATGAAAGCAAGAAGTAAACCAGCATATTCCATATTATATAATTTTCTTGCTTCTACACACAGTACTTTCTTAAAAAAGAAAATACAATAATGTGAGCCCTATCTATGACAGAAACTCATCCAATTCAAGAAGAAAGTCTTAACACTGTCTGCTGATTAATAGTAAGAAAGTGAGGAGAAGGAGGAGGTCCCAGAGTGTGCAGCACCTCAGGTTCAAAGCACTGAGGAAGCCACACAAACAAACAAAGTAAGTAGTTTTCTTTAGAGAACTGAAAAAAAAGAGTGCACTAATGAACTTTGGACTGATAAAAAACAAGTTAGGGCCCAGTCTTATCCTAGCAGGTGCTGCCAGAGAACAATATCAGCATTGTATCATATGTAATACCAACACTGCTATGAAGTGTATGTGCCAAGTCTTCTCAGTATCCTTCCTTACCTTCACAGTTTAACGAACTCTTTATGTAACAGTCCATAATTTTCACAGACTCCTGATCTTTGTCATTATCATTAAAACAAGTGCATTTTTCACTACAAGGATGTTGCTTTTTAAGCACAGTTTTCTGATACATGCACTATCTATTAGTGCAAAAAGTCTCTAATTGGCACTTCCTAAAACAGCATCTCCATTATAAAGCTTTTCTGTACTTTTCTCTGGTTGTTGTGGCTGCATTATGGTGGAAGAAAGAACCCTCCAAAGATTTCGCTCCCAAGAAACTGTTACTAATTCATCCCAAGAAGAAAGCATCACTTCAAACTGGGACACTTAGACAGTGATATGTTGGTAAGTGCTATCAATCAGTTTTGTGTAGGAATCGCTTAAAAATGGGATATACTGCTCTGGCAGCCCAAGGGAAATCTTACAGGCACATTAGTTTCACAGTTGCATAGTTTCTGTTTCTTCTTTCCCTTTAGGCAGAATTTTGCAAACCTTCTCAACAATCAGGATGTCTAGTACAGAAAGGATTATTTCACCTAACATCAACTATTTTGGGAAGAATTTGAGAAGAAAAGCTTCATTTGACAGTCAGCCTTGGGGAAGAATTAAATGTTAACCTGCTGTACCTTCCATTTTTATCCCTGGTGTTGATGTCTGCTCCATGATCCAGAAGGTATTTGCAGACTTCTGTATGTCCACTTTGCACTGCAAGCAGCAGAGGTATGTTCCCATCCTAGAAATGCATTTAAAGAAACTATGAACAATATTCTACCCAATTACAAATAAGACTCTGAGATTTGAACACAGCTATGAATTTTATCTCTACATAGCAAAAATGAGGTGCTATCACTACATTTTTCTTATATAGCATAAATGTAGCTGAGTTCACTTTAATTTCTTCTTGTCTGCTAGAAATGATGCAAAACGTGAAGAGTAGGGATGCTTTTTGCTTTTGTACTCCCTTTGCTGTTTGCTCAATACTAAAACACAGTGATTTTGAAACTACCCAATATCTTTCAGTAGCTCCACAACAAAAATTATAATTTTAACTAAGTACAAGGCAAAAATAAAATGTTTCATAAAATCATAGAATAATATATTTGGAAGACACCCTTAGATGTTATCTGGGTTTTCTCCCACTTTTTTCTTAGCACAAAGGTAGGCAAACTTCAAATTACAGTACCTTGCTCAAAGACTTGTCCAGTTAAGTTCTAAGCATCTCCAAAGTTAGAGACAACGTGACACCATCTCCAGGTACCAGTTCCAGTGTTTGACCACCTTTGAGGTGAGATTATTTTTTCTTTAGTGTCTAACTGGGATTTCTGAGTTAGGTTCACTACCCAAACTCTGACCATTTCTTATCACCATTTTGTCATGCATCTCTGAGATTGGTCTGACTCCCTCTTTCTTACGATCAACCATGATGTAGCCCAAGACATTTTTAAGATACTCCAACAGCCTTCGCTTATTAAGATGGAATAAACCTTTTCTACCCTTAAAATGCCTTTGCTGAAATTTGTGGTCTGACATCTGTGACATATTTGTTTTCATTAGATCAGGTAAGAAGGGCATGGATCACAGTCAAAAATAAACAAATAAATATTTTTATGCTTTCCCACCTGACCTGTGCTTTACTTCTGTTAGGTCACCTCCTTCTCTCATTTGAGGGTTTTCTGTAAGGCAGCTGCATCGCACCCAAAACCAGACCTGGTTGGTTGTAGACACTTCATAGTAATGAATGTAGTACCCCTGAGCCTTTAGACTACATCAAATATATTTTTCCCCCTCAGGCTTATCATATTCTGCTTGGGCTTTGTGGGAATTTTGCAGCACTTACCCATGTATTGGACCTTTTCCCAAGCCTACTGGAGTCAAGAGAATGCTTTTAATTATGTTTTGAACATGTAACAATTGTTTCTAGCTACTTCTGCCAGTGTCTCAATTTGATGATCAGCAAATCCTGCTGCTATGGTACCAGATTGTGAAGTGCTTTCACACCTCTGCTATGGCAAGCTGCAAAGGGAACTTCCTCTGGCAGAGAAGTCCAGAAAGAAATACAAGCACAATATTGCTTTGAACTGCTGCACTGAGATGGAGGTTGGTAGGTGCATGGGGTGGGGGATGACAAAAGCTCTGGGGTATCTGAAGTACACAAGAGAAGAGGTACCTACCAAATCTTTGACATTAATGGGACATTTGTGTTCACACAGGAGTTGAACTGCCTGAAGACATCCAATTTCAGCTAAAAGACCCAAATAAAATAAAATTAAAAACCAAAATACAAGCATGAAAGTCCATCAAACCCACCCCATTTTCAAAACTTGTGCTCTCTGCTTCCACTTGCAACACTGCAGCATAAGAGCAGAAAAATTGTAGAGCTAGGAATATCAAGCACAACAAAATAGACAGTGCAAGCTTTCACCTGAGAAGTTACCTGCATAATGCAAAGCTGTTTTCCCAGAATTGTCAGTGCTGTCTGCTGGACATTTACTCTGCACAGTTCAATAGGGAGAAGGGGGAAAGAAAGCAATTAGAGAAAGACAAAGAAAATAAAACATATCTTTGATGCTAACAGAGTGCTGAACAGCTTTGAGAAAAGGTTTATGTGCTGCTTCAGGAAAGAATGCTGAAGGAAGGTACAGCTTCCCTCTCTACCAATCCTTCCTTTATTGGTAGCAGCATATGCTGAAGATGTAGGAAATCCTCATGAGCAGAGACCTAACCCTAAAACATGTTAAAGTTTCTGAATAATTTAAATCAGGAAATAAAAAAGGAAAGAAATTCCTTTATCTCAAAACCTTTTTTTTTTTTTTTTTTTTTTACATTAGAGTAAGAGATAAAGCAGCCACATCCTAAGGTAATTAGTCTTGCCTTTCTTTTTTATTTTATTTTATTTTATTTTATTGAATCATAGAATCACAGAATGGTTTGGGTTGGAAGAGACCTTAAAGATCATCTAGTTCCAACCCCCTGCCATGAGCAGGGATACCTTCCACCAGAGCCCCATCCAATATGGCCTTAAACAGGGGTGTTCAGGGCTGGGACATCCACATCTCCTTCAAGCAACCTGTTCCAGTACCTCACTAACCTCTGAGTAAAGGAATTCTTTCTAATATCCAACCTAAACCTCCCATGGTGCAACTTGAGGCTATTTCCTCTTGGCCAGTCAAGATATGGGCTCTGCTGAGCCTCCTTTCCCCCAGGCTAAACACCCCCAGCTCCTTCAGCTGCTCCTCACAGGTCCTCTTCTGTAAACCCTTCAACAGCTTGAATGTTTTTCTTTAGACAGAAGATAGGACCCTGAAATTATGGCTTTCTAAAAATCAAACATTATAACTTTTGACTCCAACACATCTGTGATTTTCTAGGAAAACAGGATCATACGGATTATCGCATTCTGTAACAAACATGTCGACATTCTGCCTGTGTAAAATAATTATTTAGCCTGTTTTAGTTCAATTCCAGATAGACATTCCTCACAGTCACACTTTGGTCCCCAGAAGCAATAAGGCAATCCTAAGAGCATGAATTGTTGGAGAATATTACCAGTGAGCTTTCACTTGTGAATGTATTTGGAAATCTACATATTGTAGCAAAACCAGGAAAACATCAACCAAAGCACTCTGTGGTTGCAGCTGGAACGTGAAAGGGCAGAACATACTTAGTATTAAACACACATTAGTTGCTGCCTGCGATGCCACCAGTGACGGCCTGATGGTGCTGTTTGTGCTGTAAATGGGTTGGTGTTTGCAGCAGGAGGAACCGGCAATGAAATGAGCCTCGGTGGGTAATGACAACCCTTCCCAGGTGTGGGCCACTAAGGGAAGTCAGCCTGCAACATACTGAGGTGGGAATCAGTGAAATGGGATCCAGTGTTGTCAGAGACACTGATGGGGCCTGTTGCAGGGCAGTTGGAGAGCCCTGAGGTAACCAGGCAAGAACAGTTCAGAGGCTGGGATATGGGATCCATTCTCTTTCTGTACCATTGGGTTTGGGTGGGGTTGTTATTAATTATTTCATCTGTAGTCTCTGTTTCATCTGAGACTTACAGATAACTCCAAACTTAGAAAAAAATCTGTTCCATTCCTCTGATCACCGCCATGAAAACTTACCAGTATTTCTGAAATGAGAGCTGAGATGGACAATGTCATTGCTTGCTAATGCACATCTTTCGCTTCAACACCATGAGAATCTTCTATTCATCTTCAATTTTCTTTTTCTTGTTTTCTTTCCCCATTCTCTCAACTCCCTTTCTAATCCCTCACTGTCCTTTACCTCATTTCATGGAGGATTTGATTATTTACATATTTTAGGATCTAAACTACTTTGGTTTCTTTCCTCTTTGATTTCAAACTTGAGAAGTGTTTCTATGGTGAACAGACAGAAAGCATTCCAGTGGAACAGTATCAGAATCCCCCCAGAAGCAAAAAATATATAACTCTCAAATCTACCTAATTCCAAATCATCCAACCACAAAGACAAAACACAGGAACTGGACTGAAGCTGCAACCTGCTTGAAACCCAACCCAGCTATGTCAGATCTGCTGCACATGGAATACTGTGACTCAGGGAAGACACCACACTATTTTCTATCATCCCTTCACAGCACCTGAAGGGTCTTTAAACTCTTTATGTTAAAACTCTTGTTGTGTCTCTCTTGATGTCAAGGAGAAAGGACAACAGTATAGCAGTGTGGTGCAGATTATTAGCAGGAAATGGGTCAATGTCTAGTGAACCCAGATGAAAATTTCAAAAATCAAAATTAATTTAATTTTTACTGTACCTGAAGTAACCTCTTAATGCAATCAGGGTGGCTGTTCTTTGCTGCAAGATGTAAAGCACTGTGTCCTAAAAGAATGAAAGGAAAGCAAATTAATTATTCAATCATGCCAAAGCAGAGAAATAAACTCTTCCATGACAAAGGCAAGATCCTGAATTATCCGTCTTGTTCCTATCACGACAAATAAAAGGTAAGGGTAGAGCAAATAAAATAAAAACCTACATAAAGAAGAATGTCTTTCCAATAGACTGTTGTTCAGGCAGGTAACAGAATAATCTTAATGTTTTGCTTCATGTAAAGGAGTAACACAAACACTGTGTCAGACTATATCTTGGCAGAAGTAAGTCTAAGATTGTTATGTCTTGTTTCTTAGAAAACAATTTTCCTGTATTACTCAGCCTCACTGCACAGAGATGTCTGTCAATGTCTTCATGATTTCTGCCATGTGGCAGTGAACAATAACCCGGCACCAAGAGTAAAAGAGCCGAATTCACCAGCTACCACTACAGTAAATTTGTATAATCCATGAAGTGCATGGAGAAGACGACTCAAACACAGGCCTGCTTTAGTTTGTGTCTCATAGATTCCCTATTCAGTTATTTTATACAGCAGCTGCAAGCACATATCAAACACAGGTCTACATCAGTTTGCAGTTAACTTTTTTAGCACCCATGAGCTCATATTTAGCTATTCAACACAGTGATTTACTGACTACGGATTTGTGATGAAAGACTGCAGTCTCTCCTTCAGCTTCATCTTACAGACCATCTGAAAAATTAAACAGGCCAAGACATCAAAAGAACAAATTATCCATGTAACTAAGGAAAGAAGGAGGCAAGATTTACTACTCCATACAGACAAAACCACTTGTGACAGTAAACTAAGCAAATAAGGTGACTTTTACAGACAAGGACTTCCTTAATGACCAGTGGGTTGATACTCCCAGGTGAAAGTAGGCAGGCAACCTCTTATTATGCAAACAACTAATAAATCCTGAGGCAAGATGAAGTATGAATTCTGAATAATAGTCTGCATCAGGTATGTGTGTTCTTTTATCATTGCTTAAAATATGAATGCTTCTTCCAGTATCACAGACACCTCCTTATAGAGGCAAATCATTCACATGTATGACAGAAATTCCCTCAGGCTGCAATCAGAGGCCAAAACAGAACCCATGAGCCCAACATTTACAGATCATTACTGGAGAGACAGAAAGCTGACAGCTCATCCAGGTGCTCAGCTAGCCAGAGAAAATGCTGGGCACAGATTCCACAGATGTGTCAACTGGAATCTGTTAGGAAGAGTTTGCCAATTTCAAATTCAGCTCCTATCATTCTCCTAGTGGGGTAGTAATTAAGGCATAGGACTTTTGAGCACTGAAACAGCATACTTAATAGCTCTGGTTTGGCCTGTATCAGCTGTTTTCACCATGTCATAATCCCGAGGAAATGTCTTACTGCAACTCCTGTAAAGTTAATGGGGTTAATAGCTTGGATAAACATAAAATCAACACTGAAGGTCTTCATGTAACATAGAATAATAAAAAGAGTTGGGGAGGATGATTTTTTTAACTTAAAAATAATAATTTTTTTAAAACTGAGCAACTATTTTACATCTGGAGTCCACTAAAAATGCTGAAAACTATAGTATTAGGACAAAAGTTTTTAACGACTTTATAATTTTTAGGACCTCAGGATCTGAATTCTCTGTGCAGGAAAGCAAGTGTGCCTACCAGGGCTGGGGCCCCACTGTACCTTTTGTTTACAAACAGAGAGGGGCTAGTGGGAGATGTAGTGGTCAGAGGCCGTCTGGGGCACAGTGACCATTAAATAATAGAGTTAGCAATACACAGGGATGCAAGGAAAGCCATCAATAAAACCTCTATGCTGGACTTCCAGAGGGCAGATTTTGGCCTATTCGGAAGACTGGTCCAGAGCATACCCTGGGAAAAAAACCTTGAAAACAAGGGGGTACAGGAGGGATGGACGTGCTTCCAGAAGGAAGTCTTGAGTGCACAGGAACAGGCTGTACCAGTGTGCCAAAAGGCAAGCTGGCGGGGTAGATGACCAGCTTGGTTGAACAGGGAGATTCTGAAGGAAATCAGGGATAAACAGAGAGCTTACAGACTATGGAAAATAGGGCTGGAAACTCAGGATGAGTTTAGTAGTATAACTAGGTCATGCAGAAAGAAAATTAGAGGGATAAAAGCACAATTCGAAGTCAATTTGGCTACTTCTGTTAGGGATAACAAAAAAAGCATTTCTATAAATACATTAATAACAAAAGGAGGGGCAAGGAAAACCTTCATTCCTTGTCAGACTTGGGGGGAACACAGTTAACAGGGATGAGGAGAAGGCTGAGGTACTTCACACCTTCTTTGCTTCAGTATTCACCAGTAGGACAGGGGGCCCTCAGGACATCTGGCCTCTGGAGCTGGTAGACAGGGACAGGAAGCCAAACAGCCCCCCTGTGTTCCAGGAGGAAAGAGTCAGTGACTTACTGAGCCACCTGGATCCACACAAGTCCATGGGACCAGATGGGATCCATCCAAGGGTGATGAGGGAGCTGGCAGAAGAGCTTGCCAAGCCACTCTCCATCATTTACCAACAGTCCTGTCTCTCTGGGGAGGTCCCAGATGATTGGAAGTTGTCCAGTGTCACACTCATCCACAAAAAGGGCTGCAAGGAGACCCGGGAAACTCCAGGCCTGTCAGCCTGACCTCAGTGCCTGGCAAGATTATGGAGCAGATCATCCTGAGTGCAATCACACAGCACCTACAGGATGGACAAGGGATCAGACCCAGCCAGCACGGGTTTACGAGGGGCAGATCCTGTCTGACCAACCTGGTCTCCTTTTATGATCAGGTGACCCACCTGGTGGATGAGGGGAAGGCTGTGGATGTGTCTCTCTGGACTTCAGCAAAGCCTTTGACACCGTCTCCCACAGCATATTCCTGAAAAAGCTGCAGCCCATGGCTTGGACAGGGCGCTCTGTGCTGGGTTAGGAACAGGCTGGAGGGCCGGGCCCAGAGAGTGCTGGTGAACGGAGCTCCATGCAGTTGGTGTCTGGTCACCAGTGGTGTCCCCCAGGGATCAGTGCTGGGCCCAGTCCTGTTTAACATCTTTACTGATGATTTAGATGAGGGGATTGAGTCCATCATTAGTAAATTTGCAGATGACACCAAACTGAGGGGAAGTGTCTACCTGCTGGAAGGCAGGAGGGCTCTGCAGAGGGACCTGGACAGGCTGGAGAGTTGGGCTGATTCCACTGGGATGAAGTTCAACAAGGCCAAGTGCCGGGTCCTGCACTTTGGCCACAACAACCCCTGCAGCGCTACAGGCTGGGCACAGAGTGGCTGGAGAGCAGCCAGGTGGAAAGGGAGCTGGGAGTTTGGATTGACAGGGAGCTGAACATGAGCCAGCAGTGTGCCCAGGCGGCCAAAAAGGCCAATGGCATCCTGGCCTGCATCAGGAACAGTGTGGCAGTAGGAGCAGGGAAGTGATTCCTGCCCTGTACTCAGCACTGGTGAGGCCACACCTGGAGTGCTGTGTCCAGTTCTGGGCCCCTCAGTTCAGGAAGGATATTGAGGTGCTGGAGCAGGTCCAGAGAAGAGTAACCAGGCTGGTGAAGGGATTTGAGCACACGTCCTATGAGGAGAGGCTGAGGGAGCTGGGGTTGTTTAGCCTGGAGAAGAGAAGGCTCAGGGGTGACCTCATCACTCTCTACGACTATGTGAAAGGAGGTTGTAGCCAGGTGGGGGTCGGTCTCTTCTCCCAGGCAACCACCAGTAGGATAAGAGGGCACGGGCTTAAGCTCTGCCAGGGGAGGTTTGTGTTGGATATTAGTAAGAAGTTCTTTACAGAGAGAATGATCAGGCATTGGAATGGCCTGCCCAGATGGTGATGGATTCATCGTCCCTGGAGGTTTTTAAGATGAGGCTGGATGTGGCACTGAGTGCCATGATCTGGTAATCACAGTGGGGTTGGATCAAGGGTTAGACTTGATGATCTCGGAGGTCTCTTCCAATCCAGTTAATTCTATGATTCTATGATTCTAAGATTCTAAACCTGGAAGTGTTACAACTGCTTTTCCTGCAGAGTGTGTGGGGAAAAGCAATGTTGTCAAATCTGTAGTTTCACTCTGCACATTCAGAACTACATCAGTAACTTAAGTGTATTATGCTACTTGTATAGGTTCAGAGAGGCATACCTGCACCATCCTGGGCTGTCACATCTGCACCATGTGTCACCATGATCCTGAGGCACTCTGCATGCCCTTTCGTGGCTGCCAGGTGAAAACTGGAAGAGAGCATTTAAATGTCACTTTTATTTTATTAAGATCTCCTTTCTCCTTCATTCACAAACCATATACTGGCAAGTTCTTCCCTCCCTGTCCTTACATCTTTTGGCACCCCTCCACTGCCTCCCAAGAAGATAACAGCTCTGAAAGTGAGATGGTGCAACAAAAGGATTTTGTAGTCATACTTTCATACCACACCTCAAACAAGGTGTTCCACTGGGGACCCTCACTACTAGAAAGATGTTGACCTACTGGAGCATGTCGAGAAAAGGGCAGTGAAGCTGGATAAAGGATTTAAAGAACAAGTCCTATGAGGAGCGGCTGAGGGAGCTGTGGATGTTTAGTCTGGAGAAAGGGAGGCTCAGGGGAGATTTTATTGCTCTCTACAACTCCCTGAAGGGAGGTGAGGGTCGGTCTCTTCTCCCAACCAACTGGTGACAGGACAAGAGGAAATGGCCTCAAGCTGTGCCAGGGCAGGTTTAGATTGGACATCAGGAAAAATTTCTTGACCAAAAGGATTGTCAAGCACTGGTAGAGGCTGCCTAGGGAAGTGGTGGTGTCACCATCTATGGAAAGCTCTGGATGTATTTAAGAGATGTGTAGATGTGACACTTGGGAGGGGACATGGTTTAATGGTGGACTTATGTTGCCAGGTAATGGCTGGATGTGATGGCTTTAGAGGTCTTTTCTAGCCTGAATATCTCAATGATTCTATGATTTTACTCAGGCTGCTGTCTCATTAACCTAGACCATATACCTTAGGGGCATCTAGTCCCCTGCAATTTGTAAACTAACATCCTTAGTGTTGTCATATATCCCCAAAGAATGCCTGGGCTTGGGGAATTAATAAAGAAAACATTTAAAATAACTGACTTCACTCAAGTCATTTTAGCCCATCCTGATTTTCCCCTTTCAGTGAACAAAACTCAGTTTCTCTTAAAGTTGGCTCTACAATTCCTTAATTAAAGTAAATCAATTGTGCTTCTTCACTGCCCTTTATAGAGCTCATCTTCCCTTTGTGTACAAGGCGGGGGGAACATCTCACTATATCACCAGGAGAAATCAAAGCTGCTGCTTATTTGTGAGACTATGCCCGAAATCTGTTTTTCCACTTTTGGTTTTGCTGTTCACCTCAAGCACCTGCTTGTTTAAACAGTGGGAAATTGCAGAGGTACCAACCACACTGTGGCAGGATACACTCTACAGCATCAATTACCCAAGACATAATTACAGAACAAATCGAAGAAATTATACTGAATTCGAGCCCTTTGTCAGCTGAAGGTTCATGTTTCACATCTGCATGTTGGGCACCTTAAGATTCACAGAAGCAGCCCTATAGAGATGCTGCTGACTTCATTTTTGCAAAAATGAAGGACAAGCTTCTGAAAACAGAGTTGTTTATATCCTCCCGAGGCCAAGCATGCTGATATTGTCAAGTCATGAGATATGGGCACAGCACCAGCAGACACACTGCTACCACCTGGGTCCTACCAATATCAGCCTGATATACGCAGTTTTTCAGTGGCAGTAACGTAAAAACAAACCCAAGACACAACACTTCCCATTGCTACTACACTGTGTGCAAAAAAGTCAGGACCTTCATCAACATGCCCCAGAATGAAAGAGCCAGTATTTCTGGGATGATTTCTGATCTCTTTTAAGGGAGTCATTACATTTTTAACATCATTCCCCTGGAATCTAAAGGGAACATCACAAATCATGGAGCCACACCAACTACTGCATTTAAGAGTTTACATTTTGAACAACTGCTTCCTCTAAGTACTAAAACTAACACTGAAAGTTCAGCCTGCTAACCAGGGAAATTTGGAATAGCAGGTAGGAATGAAAAGAATATTTCAGGCACACAGTATGTGAACTGCAGCACTGTGTTTCTCTAAGCCATGGACTTCTTTGCAGCCTTCCTGAAAACACAGCAGAGAAAAAGACCTACAGATAAGAGCTGGCAAAGAGTAGGGAATGAATGAAAACAGGAGAGCTCCTGGAACAGAGTCCTCTGTCAAGGACAACAATCATGTCACCTCCTACAAGGACTCCTTCCACACTGGCTGCTACCAATTGCAAATGATAGGCAGGAAGTGCTTAAGCTTTGAACTATTCCCTGCAAACATAAAAAAATATTCTGTGTGCTCTTCTCATGCTTACTACTGCCATAAACAAACTGAAGAGTTAACACTTCCAAGAGTGCAAGAAGCACTGCTGCTGTCTGTTCTCTGGTCATTCAAAATATAAACTTCACGTACTCAGTGACCAAGGCAAAGTTGTGTAAACATTCTTCTTTAGAAGAAGTGGTTTCTCAGGCTCTGGGAAAATTGCTGGGAGAGGGACACAACAGGAGTCTGAAAAATTCCAACACCTCTAATTCAGCCAGCACAACATACCAGCAAATTCAGATACATTTGTGTAGACACAAAATACGACCAAATCCACTTATAACATTAGGAAGGCTGTGAAGCATGCACTTGGCTAACTTACACTTGACAATATTCATAGCAATAATAAATACCTGAATAATAATAACTTGGCTAAATCTGGGGCACTGAGGTTTTACAGACAGACTTTGTAAGGTGGTGCCAAATGCAACATGAATATGCAAGTGCTAAAGAAGTTTTATTTAGTTAAAGTCAGACTGCAAAACGTATCAGAGAGAAGAAAAATTAACTCTTTTCAGGTCACACTCCTATGAATGCATTAATCCTACCAATGAAAATAATTCCCATGGCAGTTCCCAACAAGCCATCACACAAGCAGATGATTTGTTTCATATTACCAAAAACATTTTCAGGAAAAAAGGCCCGATTGAAAATATTGCTTCTCCCAAACTGGTGGGATGAAAGAAACATCACCTCTAGGCAGAACACGTGGTTTTGAAGGTGAGAGAACACACACAAAGGATGTAAGGATCTAATGAAAACAAAAATACAGAAACTAAGTGGAAAGTCCCATGAAAAGTGAGCATGACAAGGTTTAACTCTCAATCATTTCTACAGTGGCCAAAGGCACAGAGCACTGGGCTGCTACAGCTCCCTTACAAGTGCTTGCTGTGTCTCCTCCCTGCATCCTTCTACCTCTACTGTCACATAAACCTGTAGTGAGACATTTTTGTGTAGTAATCTAAAAGCAACTGGGAGGGGAATGGGGGATATGGTTACTTAGCTGCTTACCAGGAAGTCAGCCCTGCACAAGAGAGAGAGGAGAATGACTCCAGACTGGATGAACCTATTACAGTCATATTTAAAACTGAGTATTTACAGAGTGTTGGGCAAAAACTTCCCCTGAAGGAGTAATTCTGATTTTAAAGTTAATTCCACTTTTTTATTTTTAACTTAAAAAATAAAAAAATCAAAAAAAAAAAAAAAAACCCAACAAAAAAACAAAACCCCAAACAAACTAAAACCAACCCACTTAGAACAAAACAAACAAAAAAATCCACAAATCCAAACAAATGAGTAGTAGATACTGGGGATTCCTCTGTAGCAAGGGAGGCTCTTGAAACCAAGAAGCCTGTAGACATTCATTTCAGGACAGATTAATTCTTCACGAGCTACATAATTTCCTAAAATATCTGAGGCAAAAGCTGCAGGCTTCCAAACACTGGAGTTCTCACCACCTGCATGCCTTAAGCAGTGGTTTATTTTTGTACTGGTAGATAATTTTACTAACATTTTTCTTAAAGGGGATAAATGTGTTACAGTATTTTTTTTCTCTGTGTTAGTGGAACATTTGCTGGCTTAGTAACTGTTGTCTGTACAAACCTACACTGAAAGTTGCTTACTACTTTTTTGTATTTACAATGGTTTATGACCAAACTATAACTTCTGGGAAGTAAAGAGCTTGTAACTTCCTTGTTTTGTCATCTTCTGTTTCTGATGCTGAATAAAGATTGGAAACCTAGTCACAGCAATGAAGTTGTCTTGGTTTGCCTTTTGTCCTTTGCCCATGCAGTGGGGAAATGGTGCACAAAGAAAACTGTTTAAAAAAGAAACAAGCAGACAAAAAGAACACAGTGTGTGTGTGTGTGCTGCCTAATTATCCCTTCTTTGATTCCTTTTCCTTTTTACTTCTACTTTCTACTTCTCTCTCATAATTTGCGACTCTCTCAGACTGAGAAGCTGCTGCTGTAGCAAAGAGTAACTGGCTTGTGAATGGCAGCATTTGCTCCATTTCAGGCTGGCAGCCAGCTAAAAGCAGTACAGGGTTATAGACCAGACTTTCAAAAGAGCCTTTCTGATGAAGTTTCACTCTTACTTAGTCTGGTTTGTTAACAGTTCAAACACTGAAGTCCTGAGTTCTTGCTACCCTGGTCCTGTGCAAACTCTGTTTTTATTTTGTTCCATCATGATCTCAGTATAACCAGTAGCTGCTTGAGATTCGTTGGGGAAGGCTGTGCAAATTCAATTATTTTCTTTGACCTGTAAGCCTCCAGAAACTTGCATACTAGCTGACACTGGAAACTGGTAGAAAAAATCTCATTATGATTGCCTTCAGTCATAAGAGGAGCCTTTACTTGCAGCAATGCAGCTGAAGTGCCAAATACATAAAAAACAAAGTTACTATCAAATAGGAGTTGTACATGTTTTGATAGCTTCAGTAGAATCCATTTATTTTTTTATTAATTGATTTCACAACATGCTGTTATGCTATCTGTCTTCTCTGTTTCAAATAAAAAGCAAGTAATGTGGATGGACTGCGGGAATCACAAAATGAAAAAACATTTCCTTTTGACATGCTATCTCATGTCTTCAGACCCCGCAGCGATCTAACAGGCTGATATTTAACCAAGTGCAGTGGAAGTTTTAATCTGAATAACTGCAACCAGTTTGTCTTTGATTACTAACATCTTCCAATTTTACTTAATCCCCCAAAACCACAAATTTTCAGAAGAGAGAAGTGGTACTGAAAGCAACTATTCTTTTTTTAAAACCAGTAGAATCTTTGTCACTGGCCTCTGGGAGTCTTAGCTGAGCATGTGGTGTCTGGG